TCCCCAAGTTAACCATTGTACTCATCTGAAAGACTCCTGCGTGTCTTAAAATTTGGTAAGACCTCGAACCGTGCTGTAGAAAATTTGCCACAAAGAATACTCTAAGTCTGAGCAGCGAACGATGCACTCTCTCACCCACCGAAATTCCCCGTGTTTTTATTTGAGTTGTTCGTGGCGCAATGCACTCTGGTTAAATGCAATGCATTGTGGTAAAAAGTGTGGTTAAATGCAATGCATTGTGGTAAAAAGTGATGAATTCGAGAATTCGTTGCCCCTTATATATTTCCTTTAAATCCTGATTATGTTGCTGCTCGCTCCCTTCGGTCGCTCTGCAGCAATAACATATATCACCTCACCTGAATGCATCAGCTAACTGGCGATGTGTTTGCAAAAACACGAATCAAAGGAATAGTCCAGTGATAACGCTTTAGTTGTACAATACCTAAAAGCGATATTACGTAGCTACAAGCTAGTTAACATGTATTGCAGGCATGTTTTTTTCAGTTCAAGCGAATAGCACTGCGCCGTCATGTTAAAAGCCAGAGGAAGGTTAGTGTCTAACACAGCCGTTCTTTGTGTTGTCACGCAAGGCTCCTTGTGGCGAGGAGCTTGGAGTGACGTGTCGCAAATAGCCTGTGTAAAGGCTCTCCGTTATGGGGAAAGGGACTAAGGGTGGATATCTACTGTCACGTAATTTTTACGTGAGCACGCACGTAAATTTTACCTGCGTATATAAAAAAGAGGCAATGTATAAAGTATAGTGCGTAAACGTAAAAGTCGAGCGAGGTTCAACTTTTACGCTTACGCGCGACCTTTCATACATTGCCTCTATTACATTTACGCGCGTGCGCACGTAACAATTACACGACAGTAGAATCCACCTTAAAAATCGCACAGAGAAGGGAAGGGGAACAAAGGAAGTGGGGAAGGCTACAACACAAGGAACCACTGAGTGTAAGACTAGTGGAAGATTGAGGAGGGTAGAAATTCCGGTCAACAGGGGGAAATCACAATTTCTTTAGTTCCTTGAAATTCAACATGTTTGTGTGTTGAATGATCAGCTTAAATCCAAAGTTGATTTCACAAAGGCTGGAGACCCCCTGTTTGGTTAATGATCAACTGTATCCTTATTTACTGACGGTGTGCGGACTGGACTCACATGTAGCTTCTGAAACAGAGGTCATTAAAAATCAATCATGAGGACGTTTTCGTATTGATTCTAGTTTAAAGCTGGTGACCACAATATGCGCTGCGTGCGAAGTCTGACTATCAAAGGGGTAATTGAAATAATTATTATCACCTAATTCCTTATCATCGTTAATAACCATTTCCACAACAACAACAACAACGTTATTGACAAAATAATCACTGTAATTATCATGATCATCACCATCATCAGCAGCAGCAGCATTAGCAGCAGCATTAGCAGCCGCATGAGCATCAGTATCAGCATCACCATTATCATCATCATCGTCATCATCATTATCAATAGCTATATAGCTAGAACTTAGATTATAAACAAAGCCTGAATGTTTTACATCATCATTCATCCACTTCGATAGGACTCTGATTCCGTCACGGCAATAGTGAAAATGTACCTGTCTTTACAATCACCCTAGACAATCTGGGGTTTACCAGCCAAGCAGTACAGCAGGAATTTTGCGCGGAGAAAAAAAAATGCTTAGAGTGGCTTTAATAAATGATGAATAAAACCCTCTGAAGATAACTATTTTATTCATTTAAACTATCCACGTTTTTTCGTGAAAATACTAGTAAAAGAAGTGATGTGACTGCTAACCTTAACGACTCCTCCAAGGGGTCGAATTTCAGCCTCCCTCTTTCGACGCTCCGAATCGTCTGGTTGTGTTGCTGTTGAATTAAGGTGATTCGACCCAGTTTTTTTTGGGGGGTACCATCCTACTTTGAAGCTCTCTGGTATCCCCACCTTTACTTTTATCGTAAGTCTAACACATAGAATGGATAACATATAGATCAATCTACAATATAACACAAAAATTTGGGCGATCGGAGTAAATGTCACGTGGTTATAATGCCACGCCCCTTTGAGGTCTGAGTCGAAAATCTGCTGTTGCCGGCATTTTTTCGTGAAAATCTCTCGGCTACACATAGTGCGCATTAGTGCCTTGCGCTGAACAGAGTTTCACCAAAATCGCAAAGACCCAATTCGAGAAATTCAGCGGTTTCCAAATTTAGGTCATAATTTATGCGAAAATGATAAGCAAACTTTACACGGATTATATCTAATAAACTATGAGATTCATCTCTTTATTTTGGGCATCGTTATAACAGATGGGTCCTTGCAAGTCAGCAAAACGCTTTAGGGCCTTGTAAATGCGCGCGATTTCGAGCAAAGCAAACATATAGAAATTATAGTTTTCGCTATTTGTTGACGTTTGTCAGCGTTTAAGAGTCCTTCTCACGAAAAAAGCATTTTCTTAAAAATTCGTAGTTTTTTTTCCTTCAAATTTTTTCAGGGCCACAATTGATTAACTAACTACCCGGACTCTGAATTTCATGGTCATTGAAAAACTGTGACATTATCTTCTATAAGCCCAAACTTGAGTAAACATTGAAGATTTTTAGCGTTTTGGCTGAGTTTGTGCTTTGGGAGTTGTCTATTGTTTCTAGTCTGTCATTATACAGCATTCTTGTTCAGCACGCGTGCAATGACCACGCTTGGCTGACTTCCGAATGCTCACCGAGATATTCCCGTCACGAGTTGGTTTAATTATTGGCTTGCATTAAACCTATGAAAAAATGATATTTTTTTAATAGTAAGTAGATTTAGTGTGTAGCACTTCTTGATTTTTTTGCAAAGGCACAAGAAGCACGAGAATTGATTAAAAATTGTGACTTAAACCTCTATGTATCACGCGATGGCCTGTCTCACTGTACCAAAATTATTATATCTCGGTGAGCATTCGGAAGTCAGCCAAGCGCGGTCATTGCACGCGTGCTGAACAAGAATGCTGTATAATGACAGACTAGAAACAATAGACAACTCCCAAAGCACAAACTCAGCCAAAACGCTAAAAATCTTCAATGTTTACTCAAGTTTGGGCTTATAGAAGATAATGTCACAGTTTTTCAATGACCATGAAATTCAGAGTCCGGGTAGTTAGTTAATCAATTGTGGCCCTGAAAAAATTTGAAGGAAAAAAAACTACGAATTTTTAAGAAAATGCTTTTTTCGTGAGAAGGACTCTTAAACGCTGACAAACGTCAACAAATAGCGAAAACTATAATTTCTATATGTTTGCTTTGCTCGAAATCGCGCGCATTTACAAGGCCCTAAAGCGTTTTGCTGACTTGCAAGGACCCATCTGTTATAACGATGCCCAAAATAAAGAGATGAATCTCATAGTTTATTAGATATAATCCGTGTAAAGTTTGCTTATCATTTTCGCATAAATTATGACCTAAATTTGGAAACCGCTGAATTTCTCGAATTGGGTCTTTGCGATTTTGGTGAAACTCTGTTCAGCGCAAGGCACTAATGCGCACTATGTGTAGCCGAGAGATTTTCACGAAAAAATGCCGGCAACAGCAGATTTTCGACTCAGACCTCAAAGGGGCGTGGCATTATAACCACGTGACATTTACTCCGATCGCCAAAAATTTTATGTTATATTGTAGATTGATCTATATGTTATCCATTCTATGTGTTAGACTTACGATAAAAGTAAAGGTGGGGATACCAGAGAGCTTCAAAGTAGGATGGTACCCCCCCCAAAAAAAACTGGGTCGAGTCACCTTAAAGTGGACTGGTTTCAGTTTCTTCGGTTCTCTTTTTGGCTCTTGTCTTTTATCCTGTTCACCCTTCCCGCTATCTTTAATAGATCCTTGCTCGAAAGCTTGCACTTTAGAAATTATGCTGGGTTTATAGTCTGGTTCGTCGTCACTGCTGTTGGGTTTAGCTTCATAAGGGCTTGCGTCGTTCTGGTGTTCAGAAGAGTGCTCCTAAAATGGGACATGAGAAAATGAGAAAAACGGACTCGAATTGTTCTCAAGATGTTGTTTTCCGCTTAATCGATATACCCTATTGGTTCAATTAAGTGCCGAATCTCGAATAAGCACTCACCAAGACTGATAATCGCCTACCCTGTAGGTAGGAAACGTTAATAAGCGCCCAGCCTCCAATACGATAACTTACTATTGGCAGAAAAGGGTGAGAACTTAATAAGCGCCAACCCCGAATAAACGCCCACTCTCAAGTTCCAATAAATACGGTAGTTTTGACAAATGGCCAACCTAGGAGCAAGCAGAGTTATGGCAAACGAGGCATTTATTTATCACCTATTATTAGCAGCCGGTGGTATTGCCATCATCAATCACACGTTATGGATTATCGTAAGTGTTGAGATCTGGAATTTCTCAGGGAGACAAAACCAAAGTTTATATGATAAAGAGCGATCACGAGAGACGTTTGTAATTCATTCGTTGAAATGTTCATTAATCAGTGTTAAACTACGTTTTATTATCTTCTTCTTCATCATCATAATCAACAGCATTATCACTATGATAGTCACATTTGTTATGTTGTGATTAGCCGTTACAAAGCATGAAAAGAATTCAAGCTCACTGGAAGACTATAAAGAATAGTGAGTGTTTTAGAATTTTTAAGCTAACCTATCGAACTAATTTACGATCTAATAATTGTGACAATAACAACAATAATCAGATAATAGCCGAAAATCCACGACAGCTTGTTTTCCTTTCTCTTCTGTTGGGCTTTCAGAAAAAGACAATATCTCATTATATACCGTTTTTTTTGGTTCTTGGGTCATCAATGATGCGTCATCCCTTTGTTCAGGGGTCGAGGAGCGATGAGGTTCAGCGAAAGAGACGCTGGTTCGTTGTCTTTTTTTCGCAGTGAGCTTATCGTCAACTGAATCAGATGATTTGCATTTTTCCTATAAAAATGATGGAGCAAACACTGCACTTAGAGGCAAGAAGTTACAAGGGCATTGTATCCCCTGTCTCAGACTGAAGTACAGTGTTATGCAAATTTACGTCATTTGCAAGTGAGAGATCTTTAACGAAGAGAGGAGCTCCTTTCAGGAAGGAGTACTTCAGGTGCGTTCACACTTGGTTCCCGGGCACTGGTGCCCAGGCACAATACTCGCTGGGCACTAATGTGAACACACCTTTTTTGAAGTTCCCGCGCTAGCATTCGGGCACGGTTCCGGTGCCCGAGTACAAGGTCTCGACCTTGTACGCGGGCACTAAAGTGGGCACCAGGTCCCTGTGTGCACGTGTTTCCCGTTGGTTGAGAGGAATTGTACCCACAGTCAACTTCTTCCCTCCTTTTGCAAAAGTGGCGTCTGCTTATGGAGCAAAGTGGACGAAAGACAACTTGGTTACCCAGAGTGTGGACAAAGCACCATTGTACCGTGCTGAGGAACTAGTGCCCTGGCACTAAATGTGAATGCACCCTTAGACTTAAATCTGTCACACTCTAAATGAACGTTGGAAAATGGAGGCAACCGACAGAAAGAGATAAACAAGAATATTGATGTAAGTTCTTCAGGGAGAATGTACCCTTTCAGACGATTTTTTTTATTGGAACAATGCTCCTTCAAAATTTCCGCTGCTATCACTTTGGATTGCATAAAAGGCGTAACGAAGTTGGACTGAAACAGGCAGTCACTAAGTACCCGACTAAAGCATGCAATCAGAAAATCAAATGTATTTAAAAAATAAAAGTAGCGGAAGAGGAAATTAAATTTCAGGCTACAGTTGAGACAACAGTTTTAAAATTTTGCTGTTTCTCATACGAGTCAAATTGCATAGATAGACAGCCTTTAATACCCTTCCATTACAATAACAAAAACCTTGTAAAAAACGACCTTAGTAGCCCCTGAAGCTCTATGACAAAAGCACTGAAGTACGTGCATGGAATGGAAATGCTTATATCGATGACAAATGGGGCAAATGACTGTTAATAGTCCTACCAACCTCTGGTGAAACGGCTGAAGGTCCTGAGAGAATTTTGTTTCTTGATTTCTTACTTTTTGCAGATGATTCTTTCGTTTTGTTGTCTTGTTTCGTAGTTTCAAGGGACTGCGAAGACCCCGAGCGAAGGTTCTTAATACGATAGTCTATTGTTGTTCCATTTTCGGAGTCTTGGCTTAACAGCTGAAACTAAATACTTTCACATTAATGGAGCATATTATTTTACATTGTATAACTATTATCAAACGTTGTACAATGCAAATTTGATGGATTGTAAAACGTTGCTGCATTTTGAGATTTTTAAATAACGATTTTGTAGCTAAATTCTCCCAGCTACTTTTTAATTAAGATTAGGTTAGCATGCACTTCATGCTTTTTTTCCTTTCTCGTGAAGGTTATAGTAATGCCCTATACCCTCTGTTCTAAGCACGAAAACTTCGAAGCCTTTAGGCAGGGTAAGCTTAGCTGGTAGAGCGCTGATCTGCAGAGTGGAAGACGGGCTTGGCCATTATCGAGGGAGAAGGCACTACTTTTGCCGAGCAAAAGGCTAGACTTTCGCGTTCTTGGTGTAGCTAACGACCACTTACAAAAGGCGGTCCTTACTCCTGTCTCTTGTTTTGGCTTCAGTAGCCCATTACAAGCGTTAATTTGTTGCCAACTATTACTTTACGGTAAATCTATTGGCTTTGCGAAGCATCATAAGGCAAGGAAAAAAGATTCCAACCAATGATAATCCGAAGATTAGCTTCTCGTTCACATTTACGTGCCTTCTGTAACCACTAGGGATTCTTAAATTGAAAAATTAAGACTGCCAGTTGTTGTTCGGGTCTAGTAGCAAAGCTTTGTGCTGTTAAAACTGTCGAAAGGTAATTAAAAGATGGAACAAAGATAAAGCTTTCGGTTGATCATCAAGTAAACACGCCAGCTGGTGTGGTTCAGAAAGCAGGGAACTTTAGAGCACAGGGATCCCACACTTGACATGTTAAAATTTCCCCAAATGGAATCATTCATGTCTATCTTTTTATTTTCAAAGTACGTGGGTCTCATTTTTTTCTGTTAATTAGTGATTAACGACGGACTGTACTTCAACTGTCTTGACTGTCTTTAACCTGGAGAAAAAACTCTCCATTTCGAATCACAAGCGATGCAAGGCGCGATTGAGCGTGAGGTTAAGCGGCAAATCTTTCCCCGTGCCGCTCGCCCATGACTTCCACGATATTCCCCAAATGGAAAGTTTACTCGTTGGCTAGGCTTTCTTATATAAGAACTCACCTGAGTCTTAACATTCTGACGATGCTGTTGCAAAGCCGCGAGTTGGGGCCCTCTTAACTTATCGAAAAGTTTCAGTGAGGTGCCGGCCGAATATGTGTAACTGTGGAACCTATCTCCCTTTCTGTCTTTTCCATCGGTTCGCTTAAAAAATTGCTCGATCTGGCAAAAGAAAAGAGAACGTAGTTCATTTATCATTGTCAAGAAACAGGATTATTTTTGTTTACAAGTATCGATGGGAATCATGTTATATAAAAACCTTGCGCAATGTCGCCACTTTATAAAACGACAAAGAATCTGGGCCAAGTTAGCTTTCGCGAGGAATCTGGAATAGTTTCTGGGAACGTGCTATTTAGCTATTGGCCATTTTTTCCCCGTATTCCCAGTAACAGGCCCAGAAGTCTTTGCGACAGTTAGCTAGCCCCAGTTTCCTTGTCGTTTTCAAGAGGCAACATGATTTTTACCTGCCCTTTCCTCTCATTTTGAAGAAAAGCTTGTAAATCACGAGCCGAAGGCGAGTGATTTACAAGCTTTTCGAGTGTTCTCCCAACATCCCAAGTGGGTTATCACGCCGGTAAACCCATAGAAAGTGTGGTCTATTGCTTTTATGAAATAACTTTTAGTAGAATGGAGTCTTTTAGGTAAAAAATATGGTTTTAGTACCGTGATCAAGTCATGTCTTCTCTCTAAAGTCATCATAAGCCAATCATGACTCACGATTTAATGGCGCTGAACTTTCTCAAAACGCAGTTCAGTCAAACAACAAACAGCAGCACTTCAAAACACGAGTTTTTGCACTCATTACATGATAACTTATGAAAGCTGTTTTACAGGAAAAGTCAACCTTTATTCAAGCGAACGTACAATGAAAGAATACGTTCATGGTTTGTTTACTACAGAAGTAGAAATTAATTGAACATTAGACTGTACGCAGCTGTATTTTGTTGAGTCGATCCGTAAGAATTTCGTGCCTACAGACAGAACTGGCAGCTATTGTAATGGAGGACTTCATTCACATTTTACAAGCCGCATTGGTAAGATCTGTTTTCTGGACTTTGTTATGATCAAGAAATTCTGCGGTAACGACGTGGCTGCATTTGCGAAGTTGTCGCATGTAACTTTATATGCACGTACAGCGATCGATGGAAATATGTCAGTGGCGGAGAAAGGTTTCTTTGCCGTAGCCACATATTGGCGTTAATCATGATTTGTCGATTTGTAAAGTCAGGTGGTTTGAGGTAGGTTATGGCATCGATATCACCGAATGATTTGTTCTAATGTTGGAAAAAACAAGCCCGAAAGTCTGACATCTTTCATCATCGTTGGCAGCTTGTTTACAACCTACAGGGGCCGATTTTGTACCATATCTTGATCAGAGATCTCTTTTTGGAACAATTTCTTTCATTAAGGAATTTGATTTTGACATAAAATAAATTAAGAATGCTAAAACTATCCTTTTTGTTGCTGGTTGGCAAATGGTTAAGTTTTCCTGGAGACTTTCTACACCAGAAATTCACACAGTTGTTGTCTTTCTCTGAGATTTGGCATCGTCGTGAAATGTAAACTGTTTTCCAGCTTTGTGCTTTATTACTTCTAAAGCTATGGCAGTAATAAAATGTGGAAACCAACGCTTTTGATATTAAGAAGGGCTGGGTAAGTAGCTTGTTCTGTTTTTTAGCCTTTCTAAAATCGTTATTTGCAGATCAATAGCCGGTTTTGTTTATGGCTCGTAGTCCGGATGCCTTTTTCTATGGGTTTACCGGTATAATAAACCATAGGTTTTTGACCAATCAGATCACGCGTACTATCGCGTACTATCTCAGTTATTTTATAACATGGAATAATTCGTTGAATTTTTTTCAAGTTGCTTTCCATTTCGGTCTATCATGTCCATCGAAAGCTGAAGAGGCCCACAGTTGAGTAGTTGTATATAAAACTGTACCACTTTTTCAGGATTTTCTGGGATTCCAATGTGTTTTTGAGGTTTTTATGTAATACCCAAAAATCCTGACATACTTCCCTTAACGTCCGAGTGGTCAAAACACGACAAAGAACCGATGAATTAGTGGATGTAAAGTTACAACAAACGTTCCAGGCAGACCTACCAGAAAAACAGGTGCCAAAAGCGTAGTGAAAAAGCTTCCAGAGCTTATTTTGTGCTAAAACCGGGCCGAAGTACCGCTGAAACGTTTGCACGGTAATAACTAACAAGGGCCTGTGCATAATATTACAAAGAATACAGAGATGTAAACGACAGCGTGAATTAGCCATGACCCACGTTATTTAATGATTCTTTGCTTGAGAGTAGGCAAAACCAGTGGGACAAAGGATCAATTAGCTTGTTCCTTTTAAAATGCTATTTTTCTCTCAAGGTCATGGATCATGGACGAGGCAGGTTGCAAATGGCCTCTCATAGTCTTTTGTTCAAGAATAAATGGCCAAGAAACCCCCCTGGACAGAATTATTTTATAATCACTAACTGTTTCGGGGGGTGAGCTTTTCTTTAACTGCAATTTCCTCAATAACAATGAATGAAATTTAACCATCTGGTTAGCAACCTCGCTTCCAGAAGCAAGGTGATTAGTGTTAGAGGTCCAACCAAAATGATTTATTTTATCAGCAAGAGAGGTTTTTTAAAACTTAATTTCTTGGATAGGTGAATTTCTAGGACCCTGACAACAATGAATGATTTTCCAGTAATCGGATACCCATGTTTTGCGCACAGGATTCTGGGATCGCCAGGGGCAAACATTGCGAGTCGCTACAAAGAAATGTATGGCGTGGAGTTGTTTCTGCGTTAAAAGCAGTGTCTGTGGACATAGAATGCCGCATTTTGCCGTGATTTTATGAGAAACGGAGGTGACTAATGTTGGTGCGCTGAAATTTCAAGTTTCTGTGTGATTAATGCGATAAATTCTATCGATAAACACTCCCTGCGTGAGGTTGAGTGTGAAATTTATGTTCACTGAATTTACACAGACATGAAGAATTCGAAGAAAAGGTCTCGAAATATATAGTGCAAATTTAGGTATACATTTAGGGGGATTGGCTCATTTAAGCGTTTAAGTTATAATTACGTGTGGTGGTATTTACGACGAGTGTAACTACCCTCGGCCGCGATCAGCGCTGTGCGGCTCTTTGCGGGTTATTACAAAACAACGATCGTGGGTATGTACGCGGCCATAAAAATAAAAAATCCTCCTTTACTTTGGTAAACAAAGTGACATCTACAAAATATTTCATGGAAAATACATGGTATTTAACCATTAGTAGATCAGGCAGAAATCGTACAAACGAGTACTGAGATTTCCGATACAAAAGCGGTGAGTGTGAAAATAAATACCAAGTTGATATGCGTAATTCAGAGATCCTATATCTTCCCTCAAAATGATTGGAAAAGGCATTAGAATTCATCGGTTCTCAGGATCATGACAAAACATGACGAGAAGAAATCAATATACTAATGTGCGGAAGATGTTTTTGTTTTTAAATTTAATGCATATCAAATTCGACAGTACATAAGCTTACCTTCGATCGTTGTCACAAACCGGCACAGCATTGTGATCACCGCCGAGCGGAGCGTAATTACACTCGTTGTAAATATGAGCACATGTAAGTACAACTGGAAAAGCTTAAATGAGTCCGCATTCCCCGCCCATTTATATCTAAGTTAGTACTATATATTTCGAGACCATCAGTAAATTCACAGTCGACCTTTCGCAAGAATCAGTGTTTATCGATAGATTTCATCGCATTGATCCCACAAAAACTTACAATTTCTTCGCACCAACATTAGTCACCTCCGCTGCTCATAAAATTACGGCAAAATGTTGCATTCTCTGTCCAAAGACACTGCTTTTACCAGAGAAACAGCTCCACGCCATACATTTCTTTGTAGCGACTCGCAATGTTTGCCCCCTGGCGATCCCAGAATCCTGTGCGCAAAACATGGGTATCCGATTACTGGAAAATCATTCATTAGAATTGATTTCCAGCTTACTTTTCTGTCATAACCGCTGATGACTTACGATTTAGAACCTTCCGAAGCAAATGAAGAGCTTACAGTCTGCTTCTTGCAAACAGCTAAATATATATGCTGCACTTTCTTCGGTAAAAGATTATCTTCGTCTTCCTTTAGATGCAAAGAAATCTTTAAAGCTGAGGGATAGATTAATATCATCACGTTTAAAAAACACGCTGGCACCATTGTCAGGGCCTTAACAAAATTAGAGCAATGAAAACGTAGAAAATGAATAAATGATAGTCATAATAAATAAACAATGAATAGTATCTTCAAAGCTGACAATAAGCTTTCGAGAAAAGTCGATCGTACTTGATTAAAATAATCTTAAATGGCTTTTCACTGTCTTTTTTAAATCGCGGTCGCAAACAAAAACCCGAACAACAAATCAGGCAAAATAGTAATCTGTTTTGCAGGACCTCTAGGATTATGTTTGACAGTGGGTTAGCTGTGGGTTTAAGTGGTCTGCTAATCCTGCTTTGGGGCTTTGAAAATTGGCGAACTTAGGAGATCTTAAAAGTCGTAATTACGTGTAATTGTAGGTACCCCTAGAAGCATTGATATTAAAAAGTTTAAAAAGCATGCAAGTAGTAAAGAAGATAAATTATTAAAATAAATTATTAGTTTCCCTGTGTTCCATGCGCTTTTGCAATGTGAAACAAATGACATGATAAAACACGAAACGCTTATAAAAACTACTTCAACTATTACAGAAACAGAACAGCCGAGATTAGAAACTACTAAGAAAAATTCACCGATTGATATTTAACCTATAAAAGACTACCCGAAAAAACCTGTTGATAAGCTGAATTTTTAGGTTATTTTGAAGACACATTCCAAGCAGTTCCCGAACCAAAAGCAAAGTATTACCGAGAGACAGACTTGCCCCAGACAGCTGCTTTATGTGATGACTGTGATGGAAATGAGAGACAGACATAGAAACATACAGTGTACCACCAGTACTCCTGACAGCAGGAGCGTAGTGTATAGTTACCAGCTACCAATGGCCGGGTTCCGCGTGGGGAAATGTAATCAATAATTATTCTCGTTTACTTTTGAAGTTAGTTAATATTACATAGGATCATATTTACAACTGCATGGTAACTTTTTTAAACTCCATAGTGAACATAATAATTTTATTTTGCCGCTCAAAATAAAGCGAAACCCTACTCCACTGCATGTTCGAGTGATTTTAAATCTAGACGAAGCACTTGAAATGAAAGGTGAACAAGGCATCACGGAAATAACATGATCTGCATGAGGCGAAGATTCGACCATTCCACCATCCTTCGCGGGCTGGGCACGTCTAAGTAAATATTGCATTTTCTTATTGCACGTCATTGGAGGACGATGATTCGCAAGATAATTAGCGTAAATATTGATGTAATTATCAGACAGTCCAACAATGTCGTAAATATATGACAAAGAGAACAAGCCCAAAAAGGAAATCTAAAAGGGAATTAAATCTATCTATTATCTGTTTAGTGGTTGGTTTCTGCCATTTTCTCTAGTTCTAAGAAAACGGCTGAGCTGATGCAACTTCCTCAGGGCTTCTCACTGGTTGACGTCTTTTTTTCCTGTCAATATTCCTTGCAATTGACGCTATTGGTATTGATATCACAAACGTCTTCTTATTTTACTCAACGAAAGTAGGTGGTTATGAAGAATTAGTCGCGTGATTTGAACCATCCAGAAACGGAGAATTATTTAGACTACGAGTAGTGCAGTTAGGTTAAGTGGTTTAGTGAATTTTCTTGCAGAACCTTAAATTTTTTCCTAGCACACGGCCAGTCTTATGCGGGAGATGCGCTTTTAGGCTTGGTTAGTTCTGCAGAGATGGCAGTAATAATCCTAATTGAGATCAAATAATTTAGCATTTATTGTTGTGTTTTTAAATAGAATTCTTTGAAACACTACCCTCCTTAATCTGCATAATTTTTCAGATAATGCTATTCAATTTTTCGCTCCTCAATTCCTCAGATCATGCGAAAGCCGACCTCAATAACTGTTAGTTCTCCTAATACTCTTTGCAATTCAAAATATTTTGTTCTTTAGAAACGTACTTACCTCGATCGGTGTAACGTGCCCGATTTTGCCTGTCCCGAGGTAAATTATAAAGGTATGTTTAATCTAGCAGAGATTCTTCAAATTGATCACTCCAGAAAATACCATAACATACCACAATGCTCTTTGTTGGTCACCCCAAAATTTTGCATAAGCATTGTCTTCAGTTTCTCTTGTGTCTTGAAATGGCCCTAAGAGAAACTGAAAACAATGTTTATGCAAAATTTTGGGGTGTTAAACAAAGAGCATTATGGTATGTTATGGTATTTTCTTGAGTGGTCGATAGCAGTTGTCTTCTATCGATTTGTATTCTTGCTGCTCTTGCTATGCTTTTAGGCAGTAGTACAATTAATGTCATTGGTACCAATACAACAAACTGCCTTCAAAATTTTTTATCCCTAGCTGTTTATGAAGAATTAACCGGGGTTTCGCTTATCCCAAAACGGAGAAATACTTTGAATGAATAATAACCAATGGCCAGAACAAAATGAAAACGTACGATCGCCAATTCTTTAATGTCTCATTTGACACCTTCTAACGAGTAGGGCAAAAAAAATCTAAACATTATCAAAAGACTTGTCGTAAGTGTTCAAGTCAAACCTTTCCTTTTACAATAAAAGGGAGACTTTTCGANTGTTGGTCAGTGGCCGGGGTAGTGAAATGTAATTGTTTGGTTCATCGACTGATCTGAAAGTTAGTAATCATTGACTGACGCTGAGTATGATCTGAAGAATTGTATTATGTCCCTTTTACTGGCAATAGCCTGTACTATGACGCCATTTTGCGCATATTGCAAGCGTCTTCCAAATTTGGTTAACGCAAGCTGGTTATGAACAATTAGCCGAGGGATTTGAGCAAATCAGAGACGGAGAAATATTTTGAATAAGTATTTATAAGGTGAATTAGCCGTCATAAGGATATAAAATTAATAAACGGGATCTGCAGAAAGACAAGGCTTAGCTATTGTTAAAATTGACCAATCAAAAGACATCCCGCAGAATTTTGCAGGCTGGCTTCTGATTGGCCAATGTTAAAGATTGCATATATTTATTAGCGTGAAAGCGAGAAGCTATTTTAGTAAACAAAGGTGGCGGGCAATGCAAGATTGAAAATGATTGCTTGCTCGGCCTTGAGGAGAAAATCGTCATGCATAAATCACTCAGTAAACATCATGACGTCATGTACAAGAAACTAAGCCCGTGCGCCCAGTCGTCGGGTGAGGAGTACCGCGGGCGCACCGAGACAGACAAGGCGGGAGACTATACTGAACCTACAATGCTTAGCTTTTCATTTCTCTCTCTTCTTCAGAAAAGTTCACTGTTAAGGTATCGATAAAACCAGGAGGAACGGATGAAGAGTTTGTAAGCTCTGATATGTCAGGAGGCTCGGAAGGATCTGTTGTGGCAGAGTACGAGATTGATGTTTATAAGAAAGGAGCCAAAGCAAACCAATTAAATGGCGAAAAGAACCCGCCTGCAAAAGCAGGCGTAGTGATTTTCGGAGCACTACTTATGGGAATGGTAATTTTAGCCTTTATATTAAAGGTAAGCAATGTATACCAAACACACAAAAAACAAACAAACAAACAAACAAAGAGTTGATAAACGGCATGCGAGCGAATTTTTAGAAACAGAATGGACCACTTCCGCTTTTCTCAACGGAAATGTGAAAGTGGAGAAATTTAAATCGGTTAACATTTTTTCCTCATCTGGTGCACTGAAGTGTTTTAACGGTGTTAAAAACGTCAGTTGACTAGCTCCAAGACAATGTGGACGACGTTGTGGGGTGTTTAGAGAAATCGGTTTGTTTGTTTGCTTGTTTGTTTGTTTTTTTTTCGTATAACGTTTGGTCAACACTATTTAACATTCTATAACTCTTAATATAGATTCTTCACCAGACCTGGGTGCGCAAACGAAATTCCCCTGAGGAACGCTTTGAGGCTTACTTCAGGAAAAAATCGAGGAAAATAAAGTCTGTTTCTTTGGCTTCTCAAGAACAGAACAACATCGCAAGTGCTATGGTACTCATATTTAACACCGAATATGACAGTAAACTGTGAGGATATATGAGAATACAATTTCAATGCAGTGGAACCCCGTTAATACGGTCACCAAAATATTTTTAATAGGCAAAAAATATTTGGCCGTATTAACGAGGATTTTTTTTACAAGAAAATGTTTGGCGGTTTTTACCAGGCGGCCAAAAAAGTGGCCGTAATAGCGAGGTGACCGTATTACCGAGGTGGCCGTAAGCCGGGGTTTCACTGTAGCTTAAGATGGCTCGATAATCTGTATTGGGCGTAGACCGCCGAAGCACTGAAAAAGGAACTAAATTGCCAACCTGTAAAATAAACATCATTGCACATGGGAAGAGCAAAGTGGATATATTTCCAAGCCGAAAACGATTGCTTTTTCCCAGCCGAATTTAAAAAATAAAGGGGAATTGGAGATACAGTTGATCCTGAAGATGACAGTCTCTGAGTGCTGATCCATGAGGATATCTGGCTTGGTCAGGGTCCACTGAATGTACTTGCATGCAGGCAGACAAATACAGTTGATCCCGTTGATCCTGAATTTGAATTGTGATCAATTAGATTGTAATTTTTCCTTTTTTTTTATATATAATCAATGATACGTAAGGTTAAGATTTTCAAAAGGCAGAAAAGAGATCGCTAGCTTTCGGGGAATGGCTGTGCTCTGTTCGGATCCTTACCCTACATTGTTTCCTCATTCGCCAATCGATAGACAACAGGGAAAATGGGAACAAGCTTTCGAAGCAAAGATTTATGGGATCGTTTGGGTGGACAGCGCGAGCAATAACCAGTTAAGCTTCTGGTTGCCTGTTATTACCACCCAAACCAGTGCCGGATTCAGACCTTGAGTTAAGGGGGAGGTGGGGGGGGGAGGGGGGGGGGGCTAGTATCCAGCTGCCTAGTATAAGAATTACTTTACTTAAAAAACAGGGGGGCCGTCAGCCCTGGCCCCGCATATGTATCCTCCACGAAAAACCATCCGAAAAATGTTCGCCCTAAAATTCCGACCCATTATCGGTGATATAAACAAACCACGAATACAGCCGACTTTACCAAGCTAACATCATATAGTGAGGGGGGGGCAGTCATCCAGACCCTGAGATAAGGATTAGTTTCATCTAAAAATAGGGGGGCGGGCACTCCGGGCCCCTCCTCTGTATCCGCCACTGCAAACCATCCCGGAAATCGTTGTCCTAAAGCTTGCACCCATTTGCCGTAGTATAAAATCACCAAGAAAAGATCTCGATCTGAAAAACTTTGACCTTAGTGGCAAACAAAGAGTTTTAGAATTAGCTAGAATTCCACTGTTTTGAAGGATGATACAGCCAGAAACTCAGTGTTGAATTTTACTGGTAAAACCTAAAGCCTTGTGTTACAAATCTTTTTTTATGCAATACAGATATCGTGAAATATACGATGTTTTCTAAGTATTGTAGAACCCAAGAATGAATTGGATGAGTCTTGTTCGTTCACCATGCAAACTATGAACTAATTTTTAGCAGTAAGTATTAAATCTTGTTCCGCATCTTAGTCAAATATTAATGATTATAGTGGAAATTTAGTGTATGTAGGTATTTTTTTAATCTTAAACAGCATTTTTGAAGCTCATTGTTTGCATTTAATAAGATGCTACGTACGTTTCTTAGACGTATGGAAACTGACTGCATGATTATTTCTCGCTCTGGTCCATACTGTCCATTATATAGGGGAATATAGGGGAGACAATTTACCACAGTCGCAGAGGGAGGTAAACGAGGTAAATATTGTTGTGGGATGCTTTAATAGATCCCTAAACTTTAAGGGCTAGTTATTTAAATGGAGTTTACCTAGGGTTTAACAAAACCGCGTTCTAAGCAATTTTCAGTTTACTGAACGGTTTTATGTAAACACCATTTATCGTGAACAGTTTCTTAAAAGCATATGGCGTAAACAATAAAAACATTTTTCTTCTTAAAATAATCTACTTAGGAAGAGATCTGGAGGTCCAAAGATTTCCTAAACCGCGGTCTAAGTTAGACTTTGATCGTTTAAATACTAACCGGCTCTAAGTCTTCTAAAAGTCTAGTTTAGGGATGAGAAATGTATTAATGCGTTTCACAACAATGTTTAAATCATTAAGCTGCCAGTCTGCATGTCTCACTCTCCTTCTATACTCGTGGTAAATTGTCTCCTATTATATAGACACCCAGCACAAGTCACCGGTAATCTCGTACCCAAATCCTCTCGGCTTCGTCGACAAGAGATTTGGGTACGAGGTTAGAGTCACCCGCATGGCACACCATATCTGTTGTCTTGTTTAAATTGGCTCTTAGCGCTCCGTGCAGGGGTAGTAATGAAGTATTGAAGTATGTAAAATTGTTTCCAGATTTCAGAAAAAAAAATTTTTTTTCGTACTTTCATTTTATTTTGAAATAGGGGATTGTATTGAGTCGGCCTTTTTGAAGGTACTTTTCCTTCGAAAATTGGGCAAGGTCCTGGGAACGATTTTGAGGATACATAAGACCTGTAGTTTGCCTCTTAAAAGGAAGGGACCACCACACATGAGCGCCCACCATATCCTTTTCGTTTTGGGTAGACGCTTACGACAGGTTCAATCACAGTTATATAACATATATCATCTCACCTGAATGCATCAGCTAACTGAAGACATGTTTGCACAAAACGCAATTAAAAGGAATAGCCCAGTGATAACGTTTTAGTTGTACAATACCTAAAAGCGATATTACGTAGCTACAAGCTAGTTAACATGTACTGTAGGCGTGTTTTTTTTTTTCAGTTCAAGCGAATAGCACTGCGCCGCCATGTTAAAAACCAGAGGAAGGTTAGTGTCTGACACAGTCGTTCTTTGTGTTGTCACGCAACGTTCCTTGTGGCGAGGAGCTTGGAGTCACGTGTCGCAAATAGCCCGTGTAAAGGCTCTCCGTTATGGGGAAAGGGGCTAAGGGCGGATATCACGTAATTTTTACGTGCGCGCGCACGTAAATTTTACGTGCGTGAATAAAAAAGAGGCAATGTGTAAAGTATAGCTCGTAAACGTAAAAGTCGAGCGACGTTCAATTTTACGCTCACGCGCGACCTTTCATACATTGCCTCTATTATATTTACGCGCGTGCGCACGTAACGATTACGCGACAGTGGAAATCCACCTTAAAAAATTGCACGGAGAAGGGAAGAGGAAGAAAGGAAATGGGGAAGGCTACAACACAAGGAACCACTGAGTGTAAGACTAGTGGAAGATTGAGGAGGGTAGAAAGTCCTGTCATCAGGGTGGACTTTTATGCTTCATGAAGAAGGAATTCACAATTTCTTTAGTTCCTTGAAATTCAACATGTTTGTGTGTTGAATGATGAGCTTAAATCCAAAGTTGATTTCACAAAGGCGGGAGACCCCTGTTTGGTTAATGATCAACTGTATCCTTATTTACTGAGGGTGTGCGGACTGGACTCACATGAAGCTTCTGAAACAGAGGTCAACAAAAATCAATCATGATCATGAGGACGTTTTCGTATTCTCGGTTTTCACTGTCACGCAATCGAAAATAAAATTGCAAACCATTCAGTACAGAAAGTCCAGAATCTAGGAAATAAAAGAACATAAATATGCAAAAAGGCCTCGCCAAGAATCAGGTCTGTGCGGTTTTTCATATGCGAGATATTTGGGAAAACGTTTTACCCAAATTTATAAAGCTTTGTATGGAGACGCCATGTTTGTGTCCCTTTGAGGGGAACAAATATGGCCGCCGGAAACCAACAGAAACATCTGTCTTTGAGTTTTCCTACTAATGAGTGAAATCATCGCTTGAACAACTCATAAAGGATTAAAGTGATATTTATTCTGAGACAAGGAATGTTTAGATAGCAAAGTCTCCCAAAATTGGTGATGTTTTTAACCCACATAAGAGCCTTCCGGACCGCCAGCCAAATGCCGCGTCACGCAAAACCCTACAAATTCAAACGTCCCCTATCGCAAAACGAAGAACCCTTTGGAACCAAAACTTTGTTTAAATAAAGGTGTTTATGTGCTGTAATACCTCACAAAACTCAGAAACTCAGAAGAATCGATAGTTTCTTAGTTTGAATTTTGGTGACGTCATGTGAAAACCGAGAATTGACTCCAGTTTAAAGCTGGTGACCACAATATGCGCTGCGTGCAAAGTCTGACCATCAAAGGGGTAATTGAAATAATTATTATCACCTAATTCCTTATCATCGTAATAACCATTTCAACAACATCAACAACGTCATAATCATCATCATCAACATCACCACTATAACCAGAACTTAGATTATAAACACAGCTTCGATGTTTTACAGTATTATTCATCCACCTCGATAGGAGACAATCTGGGGATTACCAGCCAAGCAGTACAGCATGAATTTTGCACGGAGAAAGAACATGCTTAGAGTGGTTCTAAAAAATGATGAATAAAACCCTCTGAAGATAACCATTTTAAACTATCTACGTTTTTTCGTGAAAATACTGGTAAAAGAATTGATGTGACTGCTAACCTTAACGACTCCTCCAAGGGGTCGAATTTCAGCCTCCCTCTTTCGACGCTCCGAATCGTCTGGTTGTGTTGCTGTTGAATTAAACTGGACTGGTTTCAGTTTCTTCGGTTCTCTTTTTGGCTCTTGTCTTTTATCCTGTTCACCCTCCCCGCTGTCTTTAATAGATCCTTGCTCGAATGCTTGCACTTTAGAAATTATGCTGGGTTTATAGTCTGGTTCGTTGTCACTGCTGTTTGGTTTACCTTCATAAGGGCTTGCGTCTTTCTGGTGTTCATAAAGGCGCTCCTAAAATGGGACATGAGGAAATGAGAAACATGGACTCGAATTGTTCTCAAGATGTTGTTTACCGCTTAATTGATATACCGTATAGGTTCAATTAAGTGCCCAATCTCGAATAAGCGCTCACCAAGACTGATAACCGCCTACCCTATAGGTAGGAAACGTTAATAAGCGCCCAGCCTCCAAGGGGATAAATTGACGAAATAAACTTACTACTAGCAGAAAATGGTTAGAATTTAA